AAGTCTCTTTCATTCTGTAAATAGAGAGCTGTCACTACAAGCTCCTTACTTATTTAGATAAGAATTTGATATGGGTGTATCTGAAAAAAAAAAATCACTGTTTACATCAGTGCAAACCCAATATTTGTGAAAGTGATGCAATAATTTCATTTTGTCTAGAGCCAAATGCAGTGGGAATATGAGCTGTGGGAGCTTCCAGTACACAGCACTGCCCACACCGCCCTCCTTCAGCCCTGTGAACCTCACCTAAGTTCCTCCTAAGTGGAAAATGCTGCTTGGGCTGAGTATGGTACAGCAGTATTTATATAGAGATGCATGATTTAGGAAAATTATTTGGTCTCTGTTTCACAGGGTTCTGCCTGCAAGTCCCAAAATGTCAATACATGGGCTTGGTGTGCATGGTTGGCATTCCTGCAAACCTTCAGACAGAGGTGGTTCATTACATGACTTTTTGGGGACCTTCTCCTGCTCTCTGTCCTGTGGAGCTGTGGTCAGGGAAAAGTTCACTCTTCCCTGGCCTCTTTCTCTTTGGGAAGTCCATGGTGTGGATTTGGGAAAATCGTACAGTCCTAGAATCATGAAATATCTGAACTTGAATAAGATTCACAAGAACCATTGAAGTCCAGCTATTGGCCCTGCACAGGACACCCCAGCAATCCCACCATACACCAGAGAATGTTGTCCAAACACACCCTGAACTCTGTCAGGCTTGGTGCTGTGGCAACAAACGGGAGATTATTTAAGTCATTAACCATTAACATTCCAGTGTCCTGCACCTGGTCCTTTGGAACTTTTGCCATTGGTTTCAAAGGGAGCAGGAGTTCAACCTTAGGGCTTCACAGCAGGGCTGTTGGAAGGTCCTACAGTTAGAAATAAAAGTTATGAACTTGTGAGTAATATTAGTTTGATTGTCCAACTAAGCAAAGTCCTGAATCCTCTCAAGTTGATTTGTTATAAATTGCAAAACTAGAAAGGAAGGAGTTAAATGGATTTTTAGGGAATTGAAGGGTAGTGAAAACAGAAGATTTCATTTTGTGTGGATGGAGTTTTTGTTAGTTCTGTAGTTCTGGTCTCTCAGTGACAGGCTTTTGCAAAAAATGAAAGATCTTTCTTCTAAACACAAAAGATATTTAATTAAATTTGCTATCACTCATTAATGTTGTAAAAAGTGATGCATATTCTTACTAATGCCTTCACTTCTTCCTTTGTGTCCAGAAAAATTAAGGTGAATTGCCAGTGATATGGATGGCAAGAGTTTGGAGAATACAGTCATGTTTTTAGGTTTTATTCTTTAAGGATTCCATAAAGTCATATAAACCAGAATGATTTTCATGCTTTAATTTAGCACTATTGTTCTTCTGTTTAGTAATAACAGAAGGAAGCACACGAGGACTCTGCTTTCTTTTCAGCTTCCTGTGGTCCTCAGGAATGTGATCTTTTCCTGCAAAAAGGCAGTGGAAAAGATTCCTGGCAGACATGTTTCTTTCAGTCTAACTCCTATGAAGATCCATGCATGCATCTGTTCTCCAGTGTGGTACATTTCACAACCGACTTGTGGTTTTTGCCAGGGAGAAAGGAACTGGTTATATTTCCCTCTTTGGTATTTTTGTTTAGTATAGTGAAAGCAAGGCAGATTGTGTGGCTAAAACATTTACATGGATCTGCACATAAAAATTTCTTCACCAAAGGAATTGTAAAACATTGGAACAGGCTGCCCAGGGCAGTGGTTGATTCACCATATCTGGAAATATTTAAAAATATGTAGATGTGGCACTTGGGGACATGGTTTAGTGGTGAACTTGACACTGCTGGGTTAACAGTTGGGCTCAATGATCTAAGGGTCCCTTCCAACCTGACTGATTCCATTATTTCACTTCCTTTGGAGTGGTCTCAATGGGGATGGAGCAAGTCCTTAAAATGAGATTTCCTTTTTAAACAGTGGGTTTATTGCTGGATTGAGAACTCTGGGAACTGGTCATGGTATGCAGGACAAACTAAAAAAACCCCAGAAAACAAATCACAAAACTAAAAAACTCAACAGGGAAAATATTTCCTCCATTGCTTCACTGGTGTGGCTTGGACTGATCATCTGAAACAATGGCTATAGGTCATAGCTTTTTGGGCCTCACACTTTTTGGCTGCCCTGCTGAAAGGCTGTTCCTAACAATGGCTGCTGTAGTGTGGGCACCTCTGACACCTGCAAGGTGACCATTTATCTATTCTCCTCTATATTACTCTGCTCTTTAAACTCATGTGTTTGATACCTCAGGAATTCACTACAGGAGTGTAAAGATTGTACACTTAATCTGCTCTTTGCCCAAGACCAATCCACAAAGAAGTTCAACTCTTAATTTTAATTCACTAGCTTCTGAACCTACCTTTATTTTAAACTTGTACTACTTGGTCTTGGCAATAGAAGAAACAAATAGTTTCAGCTGTGTTTCTATTCACAGCTTTTCTGTTTTGTCCTGTGGGGTTTTGGTTTTTTCCAAGTTTTAAATGTGAAGAATTTTAAAACATTGAAAGTGAATGGCTCATTGTGGATTAAAAAGAAGCAGACAGTGAATAATCATTTTCTATTCATTTTTTTACAAACCATGGAGGAATTACTTATTTCTGCCTTTGTTGACATAAAATCAAGCTAACTACATTCTTGCAACATTAGATACTTTCAGCATTAGTTGCTTTTAAGAAAAGTATCAGCTTACCACTTTCTGGTGTTGAAAAGGAGGTGGTCGTATTTAGGTATGAGAAGCACATGATTAATTATTTGTTTGTTTTTATGTTTACCAAAAAACCATATCTATATATCTATATATCTATATATCTATATATCTATATATCTATATATCTATATATCTATATATCTATATCTCAGATTTCTATTGGATAGACCTAAGACAATCTCAAAGACTATAGACAGAAATATTATAATTTTTAAAATAATATCTGGAAGAGTGTAAAGAAATTCAAGATATTGTGATTTATGATTGGTCAGGCAGGGCAGGTGTAAGAGGTATGTAGGAAGGAAACATGCAATCAGCTGTACTCCAGGAAAACAGTAATTCTTATAGATCCCTTCCAGCTTGTGAACTTGGCAAACACAGATTTCTTTTGTCTGTTTTTAATTCATTTTAAGGTTGAGCTACTTATGTAGAAAAAGAATCTTATGGCTAAATTTATGGATACTTGAGCCTGGATTAGTCTCCTGCCATGATGTGTCCTAATGAAGCTTAGAAGTTCATGTGTTATTTTTCTATCACTGGGATAATCCAGCACCCCAAGGGCTGCCCTGTGGAGTGGCAAAAACTGAAATGGAGCCACTGTGTAAAGTGATTACATTGGAAGAAACCACCTCAGACTTTTAAACTCTGGTATCAATTTTGTCAAGTTTCAGCTGCAAGAGCTGAAAAAGTGTAACATTTACCGCAAACTTCAATGTTTATAGTTTTCAGCCGTGCTTTGTTTCCTCCACCAGGCTCTGCTGAGGCGAGAGGGAACGCTGGTCTTTGGGACCAGCTGGCAGCTCTGAGGTGGGTGCAGCAGAACATCGCCAGCTTCGGGGGCGATGCCGGCCGCGTTTCCCTGGGAGCCGAGCGCGGCGGGGCCGATGTCGCCAGCGCTCACCTGCTCACAGACACCGCAGGCATAGGCCTCTTCAGGAGCCTGCTCTTGATGGTAAGTTCCATTCACCTGCCCTGTGAAAGGATGTTGCTACAGAGATGAGGATGCTGCAGTGCGTGGGTGCTGGTTTTATTTCATCCATACCTTGGCAGGGCTGTTATTGCTGTAGTTATTTTTCGTCTCACCTGTGACTGTTATCTCCAGGAGCTGGATGCTTCGCCAGGATGTACCAGAGATGCACTTTGGTGTTTGATTTACTCATAGTAAGAATCCAGCTTTCGTCACTGTGGTTTTTTGGGTGTTATATAAATAACCTTGTTTCATAACCTGGAGGTACAACAGCTTAGTTTCCATTCCATAAATTTGATGTTGGTCAGCAGCTTTTAGACCGTGAAACTGATGAGCCAGACTCCCACATGTTAAAGTATCCAGTCTTTTTATCAGATCTTAAGACAGATTTCATTTAAAAGAAAAAAACAAGTTTCAGACAGTAAAAGTCATTTTACAGATGGGCTTGTTTCCCATCAGCTTAGAACATTTCCTCAGTCACTCCAAGTGATCCATATCCTTACAGTCTTTCCTGTGTTGAGTCTTAGGACTCTGATAGCAGTTTTGTCAACATCAATACTGCCATTTGTCTTGACAGCCTCAGTGTGCTCCGAAATGAGGCTTAATCACCAGAGGAAGTTTATATATCCAGTAGAAATGGTACTTGGACAAAATGAGCTCTACTAGCAGTGCTGCCTTGGAACAGTGAGCAGTGGAATAGAATTCTTGGTTCAGGAAGCTGAGGGCCCAGTTAAATAAAATGCTGCCTTGACTTAATTCAGTACCTAATTGTTCTTCACTGTGCCCTTGCTTCAGGAAACATAACTTTCTTTTGCATCCCTGTGGCTCAATAAGTTTATTTTAATTGCATCGCTGTAGTGGGAAAGGCAAGGGAAGTTTTTGAAAATTGCTGCTCATTAATTGTTTTTTTGTGTCATTATCAGATAATTCCTCACACAGTTCCTAGATTTTCAGTCAGCTCTTGACATAGAATTTAATTTGCTAGAAGACCCAGAGTATTTTTTCTTAGTTTCCTCCTACTCTGAAGTCACAAACCCTTTACTGACATGGCTGAGGAGGGGGCCCTGTGAAAACTGTGCCAGGACACAGTGCAATTTAACAGCTGAATCACTTAGGGAAGGGAAATGCAAGGACCTCTTTATAGTTGCTTCTGGAGAGTAGTTATGTATTTTCTTTTATTAAAAGAGTTTAAACTCATTCTTTCTCTTGCAGCAGAACACTGGTGGAGAACAGTGGCAAGTGCAATGAGCAGACAGGTGTACCTACCAATTCCTCCCACTTTTCTAGTGTTCATATAATTTTTTTTCTGGTACTGTGCAAATCACTGTCTTGGCAAAAGCAGCATCTCCACTGAGTTCAGAGTAGTGTTAATTATTTATTCTGACAGCCTCACATTGGATTTAATTTTCTTGTGAAATACACTGATAATATAAAAAGCAAGCAACAATAGAAGTAGCTTGTAGCTTAAAAGTATACTTGATCTGTCTTTTTTTTTTTTAAGTGGTGCCAAAGCTGTTTTTTCACTTACATCTCCTGTAAAGGGATGTGTCTTGTTTTTGTTCAAAGACACTAAAATCACTGAGTACTTTTAATTTTGCTGTACTTTTAATTTTACAGACTAGAACAATGAAACTGAGAATATATACCAGATATACCTTTCCTGAGGGAAAATCCCTCAATAGAGCTCTTCTGCAAAAGTCAGCTTTGTGCTCCTTGTTTCTGTATTTGTTATGCATGATAAAACCATACTGTTCCTGAGCATGCAGAGAGGAGTGGTGCATGAAACTTTCTTTACTAGAAAATGTGCACCCAAAATAGCAAAATGCTTTTGTGTTTCCTGTGTCTACCCTCTAATAGCTTTTGTTTGGAACAAATCTGAAAACAGATTGAACAAAATCAGTGCAAAGCTGTCACGGGGACTTTTTAGAATTTTTTTCATCTTTCAGTGCTATGATTAGAAATAAGTGTTATCAGTGATTTTGGCCGTATTGTAAATGGTTTAAGAGAATTAGCCTGGCATTTGACTTCATTTTTTGATCACTCAGTGAATTTACCAGTGCAATATTGATGTAGATGACTGAATCAATGGATTGCAGGGGCTGCAGAGGGCAGCTGTGTTGGGTGTCCTCTCATGGCATTCCTGGTGGATGTCAAGGGCAGCTTCCAACCTTCTTCCACCCAGTGCAAGGGAAGAAGGCCAGGTCCCTCCTGGCCATGGAAGCAGATCAGACAATGGTGGAAAGAGAAGGTTTATTGCTCTTCTGCTGCAGTCAGGTGCAGGGCTCTCTGACATGGACTCTAAATATCCCTGATCCTGGTAATTAGGTGCTCTGTAGATCCCTTTCCCTGTTTTCCCATCTCCTTTTTCCCTCCCTTTACCAGTCTCATTCCCTCTCAAACAAACCAACCACCTCTCTTGGTTACTTTTTTTCATTATACCATTTCATAGGTAGTGTCAGATTTGTATAAAATCACCTGGGGACTGTCATCCCTTGCAAGCTTGTGTTTCCCCCAAAGGTCCCCAATAAAGTCTTCCAATTAACTGTAAAAATGGCCAGACCTCACAGAATTTCCCCATAACCATCTGTGAAATCCAGCCTATAGCACATTTAATTAGTCTTTAAATGTCCTATTGAACATTTAATTAGCTTTTGTCACTTTATCATGTTATTACCGTGAGGATGACAGAGTGTCTGCATAGGTTGCCCAGGGAGGTTGTGGAGTCTCCATCTCTGGAGGTATTCCAGAGCCGTCTGGACATGGTCCTGGGCAAATGGCTCAAGGTGGTTCTGGTGAAACAGGGAGGGCTTGGATCAGAGGATGTCTGGGGGTCCTTTCCATGCTGAACTGGTCCATGATTGTTTAACCTGTCAATGTCAGAATGTTTTATCCCCTTCTCACAGTGTGTGTCTGAGTGCTGCCAGTTGTGTGGGCTCTGGGATTCTTTTGTCACCTTCCATCCGAGATACTTTCTGGCACTGGCATTGCAAGGCTGGCTGATTGTACTAGTTGCACACAGGTTTGCCATTTTCTTAAAGCAGCACAAACTACTGAATATTATTTTAATGAATAAATACAAGTCATGACTTAGAAATCTGAAATACTCTCCAAATACATTTCATGGATAAAATGCAGTCACCATAATGTATTGAATATCAGTAACAGTGATTAGATTGTACAAATGTCTAGAGTTCCTGAGTGTGTTTTGCTTTTTGGAGTTCAATGTTTACCAGCCAAATTACATTCATCCTTTAAATCCTGAAATATGTTTAAACAGGCTGTGAAACATTTTGTTCTCTGAACCTTTCTTGCTAGTGCAAGTGACCTGATACGAGATCTAAAGAGCACATAGATGTGTCCTAAGAGCTGTTTAGAGATTAAATATATATATATATATAACCTCACCAATTCTCTATTTCTCCAAACCTTCATTATTCAAATCTGTGCAAAAAGGTACAAGAGAATATTGGTTTGAAACTATCTTAGCTTGACAGCATAGGTTGCAGCATTTTACACACTCAAACAAGTGATTCCTTGGTTTAGAAAGCAATCACAAGCAGGTACAAAGGAAAGTACTGGAATGGCCTGCCTGGGGAGGTGGTGGAGTCACCATCCCTGGATGTGTTTAAAAAAAGACTGGATGTGGCACTTGGTGCCATGGTTTAGTTGAGGTGTTGGGGCATGGGTTGGACTCAATGATCTTGAAGGTCTCTTCCAACCTAGTAATTCTGTGATTCTGTGAAAATGCTACGTGCTCTTTTATGGCTTAGAAAAGGCTGCATACCAGTTAAAAAAATAAAAGAAATTCCAGAAAACCTTCTAATCTTTAAGTGATTTGATGGAAAATGTAATTACTATTTGACATAACTCTCATCAGACAAGAAATTAGGAAAAATCTCTAACATCCACTGTTACTGATTTGTTCCCTTAGTTTTATTATTTTAAAAGCTGTTATTAATATAAATATTATACATAAATATGTGGCTGACTTCAGAAGTCATAGTTAAAATATCTCCCTGTACACATACAAGGTCACACCTTTGCAAGCCAACCTTTGCAGTTAGGCACATTATCATCACATCTTACTTTTCATTTAAACACCTCTTTTATCTCTGTTTACTATGAGCAGCTGAAATACATGTTTGGATATGCCTGAACTCCCATCTCAGGTATAAGAACTTCTTTTCTCAGTGAATTAAGTCTGTTCTTAAGTTTGTGACTATTTTATGACACTGCAGGCCATTGCCAGCAAGTGAATAAATGCTGCTTATAAAGTCAGTTATTTTAATTTTTTCTCCTAAAAGATAAGAATGGAGTCACTAGAATCAGGTGTTTCTTGTATGCCAGATGTTAGATACTTTCTTGGGGTTATTGATGTCCCTCTGACCCATTCTCAATGATAATGGGTAAGTCTATCTTGAGAAGAAAAATGCTCCTTTTTTCAGTGTACATACGTTCTGAAAAGGTTTTCAGCCTTGTGGAGAACACCAGAGTCAGAGTTAATTTAAGTTCTTAAGCTGCAGTTGGTTCTTCCCTATGCAGTCACCTCTGTACAATGCTGGGCATCGCCTCACTGAAGAGTCACCTGCACCACTTGGCTCTTGACTTAGAGTCTATCTTGGTTTATCCTGCTTGTGAACCAGTTCTGGTGCACTGGGCACATTCCCAGCATATGCCATGGCTGGGATAGCACCCTTGAGAAGATCAGAAGAGGACATGCAGAAGCACTGCTGGCGTTTGGTCACCAGCTTAGCAGATTGTATTTCCCAGCTGTTGAAGGGTGGCAGGACCACAGGATGCTCTGGTTTCTCTCCTAACTCATCAGTTTGTGGCTTTTTCCTCTTTGTCTTGTATTTAGTCGTCATAGTATGTAGGTGGCAAGTGAAGGGCACTCTTATGTTTGCTCCCCGTATATATGAGAGACTGGGATTTCTTCTTTCTGGCACTTGCAAAAGAAGCATTGTCATCCTCAGTCAGGGAGAGGTAGGAAGCGATGCTTTCCCTCAGGCCATAGCTGAGGCAAGAGTCATCCATTGCTGCCAGGGTGCTTTTGGTATCTTCAGTCACCTCCAGCCTTTAAAATAACAAAATTTTGTTACCATTTCAGCTACTTGGACTCAGTGTCTTGGGGTAATATTAACAGTTGTGAAACCTCATAATGTTATTTTTGTTGTATAAAAACATTTCTGCCTCATAAATCACCAAGCATTTCTGTCACTTAACATTTCTCAAAAAAACAGTACAACAGTAAAATATAAATACTTTTTGGCACTTAAAAAGGAAGTATCATCTATATTCCCTTCTTAATCTGTAGGAAAAATGACCTCAGTACTGCACAAAATTTTCTTGCCTTCATAAGCACATGAATGTTTTGTGAAGAAGAGTAGTGAAGGGAAATTTACCCTTCAAAGGTAAAAGGTGCTTTTGCTTCTGAGGGTGGCTGTTTCCCCAACTTCTGAAACCTGACCTACTTTCTCTTGTGGCAGTTGTGATATTAGAAATCTCATGAATTGGGCTGTGTGTCGAGAGAGACACAACAGGAAAGGTTTATTCTTGGACAATGTGCTCATTATACCTGTGCTGTTTCCAGGGTGTGGGAAGAGAGGGGAGCCACTCCTGCCTGCCACAGCTCACCTGTGAGCCCCTGCACATCAGTGGGGATGGATCAGCAGTGGTGGATGTCACTGGGCTTTGTGACCCAGCTCTCCCTCCTGCCCCTTGGTGCAAGGGCTCAGGAGTCCCAAAGGAACTGAACACATGGATAGCTGGTTAGGAGAAATGATTGAGTGCTAACAATATTTCTTTCAAAGTTAAAACCTAGATTATCAGTTAGAGGGCTGGACATTCAGTTTTCATGGGTTAGCTTGATGTCAGATTGTCCAAGCTTTAAAACTGCTTTTTTATTTCCTTTAGAAGGAAATAAATAGCTGTGTGTTCTGTGTTGCAAGTACAAGTATACACATGGCTGGGAACAACCCTGTTGTTTCTGGCAGCCTGTGCTGTGTGTGGTACCTGTGAATGTTTCTCCAGTTGAAATTTTTATTCCGCATCACCACAGGAGGAACTGGATTCATCACGGTGTTGTTGTTAGTGCACTGGGTGAGACAGGGTGTTGTAAGGACACAGCAGAGACCATCAGCGACTTCTGGACAGGAAAATGAACACACAGACAGTTAATCTTTGCTTACTATTTTCTTTCCCTGGTGGTTGCTCAAATAAACAATTTTGGACTCAGCAGCAGCAGTCAGTAATTGTGTGTTCTCAGCAAGGACACAGTAACACAGGCTTAATTTTTCCTTTCCTCATACCTTTGTCTTTTAATTTTTCATTTGGCATATTTCATACAATACAAGGGAGGAACTGAGACACAGAAAGACAATGTGACTTGCTCAAAGACTAGAAAGAAATTTTTGACAGAGCATAAAATTAAACCCAGTTTTTCTGAGCCCTCAGTGAGTTCTGCTTTGCTTCGTATATTCTCAGCCATGCAAACTGAGCGTAAAAAAGATCAGATTGGATTGTGTGCACACCTACTCTTCTGTGGAACATGACTGTGGAATGTATTGGGATTCACCTATTACCTTCATCAGTGTTTCTGTCTCTACCCTCTTCTCGCTCCACTAGGAACATCAAAGATATTTTTCTGCCCAAGTAGAGAACATAATGGCTAAATGCTGGTGTTCTACAACTCTGAGTCTTATTTCAGAGTGAGATTTGTATCTTCTCATGGTGAGGGAAGGAGGACACCTAAATCTAGCTATGTCTCCTTTTACACTTATAACTCAAGTAAAAATGTTAGTTGTTACAAGTTTTGGGTTCTGCCCCAGCCCAGATTTTAGGCTTCAATTGTTTCCTTCTTTCTAAATGGTGAAAGGTGTCAAATAGCTAACATGTAAATACACATGTGTCTCCTGTCCAAATTCTTACCCCCTTTATGTCATTGGACTTGAAAATTTTATTTGCTTGTTTTGAATGTGAATGACTTTTCTCCTCAGTTTATCAATGTACTCTTTGGGGATCGTACTTTTTCTTTTACCTGTAAAATACTTAGGTATGGTGACTTCACACTTTTAAAATTACAGAGTACCCATTGCTTGTTAAAGCACAGAACCTATTGTTCTCCTGTAACTTTTAGGCAATTCATTTCTTGCAATTTCCTTCCTCATTTTAGAACATTCTCATTACAATGCATAGTAACTGCAGCCATTCAATTGTGTTGTTTGTCACGTTACCTTTCTGACACAGGTTAAATTGCCATGAATCTGGAAAACTGTCATTGAAAAAGTGTCATCCACTGGACTGGTATTAATAACAGTGACAGCTGATTCTGCAGTTGAGCTAACAGCTTAAGCCTCTTGATATAAGTTCTGCTGAAAAATTCCTGCCATGCATTTCTACTAAAGTGGTAGGGAAGAAGCTTACAGTGTTTCTGAAAATTTTCTACTGCAGATAAGGTTATGTGCTGTAGTGGTTTTTTAAGAAAATGTGAATAGACACCTAGTGTTGCGTGGTCTGAAGTTATCTTCCTGCCTAAATGGCAAATAAATGAATAAATGTTGGCAAACAGAGTCAGCCAGGAGTTCCAGTCTGTCTCAAACACAGATCTACAGGTACATGGCTTCTGTACAGCTGAACATTTTTGTATGCTCACACTTTGACTTTAGGTGTGCTCTGAGAGGGTCTTGGCACCCCTGACCTGTGCTGACCTCCAAACTGCATTTGGAAGTTCTTTAGGGAACCCCTAAACCCTGGTGTTTGGCTCAAACAGTGTTATTGACATGGCCATACAATATCCTACAAAACACCAACACCGACAGAGCCAATCTGGCCTTATTTAGCTGAGTTCTTGTATTGATTTCATTATACTGTTAAGGGCAGCATATTTTTATTTAGGATGAAAAATGAAGTAAAATGTATAAACCAAACGTTTTTCCATTGGTTGTTCTGTGGCAGTATTTGCAAGTCTTGGACATAAGCAAAACTTCTTGTTCTGGACCTTTGATAGAGAGTTTTACAGTTGCCAGTGGAAAATATGTTTTTCCTGCACTTATTTTTACCTGAGTAGTGATTGACAAGGTCTTCAAGGCACTGGAAGGTTTGCCGTGGAGAGATGTAATACCAGTTATTGGGGAGGCGGAAGATCCTGTAATGTTTCACTTGCCTGTGCCTCACTGACAAGGAATATAACCCTGAAGAGAGAACAAGAGCTAGTTACATCAAAGTAGGGCTGGTTGGGTATCTGTAGCAGAATAGAGTATCTGTAAGATATGGTGCCATTACTGAAAACATCTCAGAAATAGCTGAAAAAACCCGAGTGGCCATCTTATATATCTTATTATCCTTTATAGATATACATAATTATAACATGACCTGAGATTTTGGTTGAAGTTAATTTCAACCGAATTAAATTCAACCAAATTTCTGGTGTGCTCTTCCTTTGTTATTGCTGGTGTGGGATGTTTTGAAATGGCATAAAGGAAGTAGGCCTTTGCTGAGTTGTTTGCCTTCCACTGAATAGGGAGACCAGACTTCCAGGCTGGTACTCTTCTGTATACAGCTTTGAGTAATGTAGAAGCTGACACCTGGTAATGCAGTCATGGCAGGAGAAGGCCACTTGGATTTTTCTGGTTCTTTGTTTAGAACTCTTCTGTAGCATTTATTGACAAGGACTAAATGCCAGTCCTAAATTACTTTGAATTTTGTATCGATATTAAGAAAGTAATTGGCCTGTGGTATGCAAGAGGTCAGAAGAGATGATGTATTATTCCCTTTTATCTGTAGTATCATGATATTAGAATGTGTTCTGGTGCTTCAGCAAAGGAAGAAAGCACTTTGCACATGGAAGATTTGTTCAGCCTGGAGAAGAGCAGACTGGGGGGAGATCTTATTGCTTATTGTGTTCAGCTGCCTCACCAGGGGCAGCAGAGGGGCAGACACTGATCTCTTGTCTCTGGTCACCAGTGGCAGGATGAGAGAATGGCCCAAAGTTGTGTCAGGGGAGGTTTAGGTTGAAGAGCAGGAAAAGATTCTTCACCCAGAGGGATTTTGGGCCCTGGAACTGTCTCCCCAGGGGAGTGGTCACAGCACCAGCCTGACAGAGTTCAAGAAGGGCTTGGACAATGCTCTCAGGCACATGGATGGATTCTTGGAGTGGTCCTGTGCAGGGTCAGGGGCTGGACTCAGAGATCCCTGTAGGTCCCTTCCAAGTCAGGACATTCTGTGATTCTGTTTCTATGTCCCCATTGAAGAAAACAAAATATGAAGTTGGTACAGTATAATTCCCATGTAGCAAAAGAAAGAAAATAAAATTGAAGTCCAGTCATTTTTAAAAATAAAGATCTCCTTCATTTATATAGCAAACAGACTTATCCGTCACCCCCTCTACTTGGCGTGCATTTTACACCTTCTTGAATCCATCTTTTATGGACAAAGGCAAAGCTGTGGCTTTTCCTTCATTGAAAGTCCCACTGCCTCATCAGGTTTGCATGCAACCAAAGTAAATAATAGTGTTTAAACAACTGTGTCTTGTTTGTGCTGATTCCTGTGGAACTTTCCATGGCCATCAATAACCCTCTTTCCAGTAGGTGACTGGTAAAGGCTGGCACCTGCACTGGGTGCCTTCACCTTCTCATTTTATACCTTTTCTGGTATATAATATGATTTCATATAGACTGATCCAAATGAAGCAGGACAGGGAGTGAATTAAAGAGCTGTAAAACTGTAAATGCCCGAGATCAAGAGGGAAAAGATCTGTATTGTCTCACCTTTCCTGGTTTCACTTTCTCTGATCATGAAGGAGCCGACCTTGGTGTTGGGCAGCTGTAGAAGTTCCTCTGCTTTTTCTCTTCCCAGCCCTTCAAATAACCAGCTGTGAAGCAGGAAAAAACAAATTCTGAAATTTGGACACCAGTGAAACAGTGAGCAGCATGTGGCTGTGAAAGTGCTGCATTAGCCAGGAAAAGTGACTGCAAAAATAACACTGTGGCTTTCTATAGCTATTCTCTCATCTATATTCAGGCATATTTCCCCAGTTTATGGAGAAAATGTTGCTGGTTTTGAGTTCCATTAACCTTTGTGAGGTTAAGAGAGGAGTGACAAGGTTTGGACTTATTAGGGAAAACAAAACTTTTGGAGCCGCTTTGATCTGTATTGCTGGGGACAGATTCATGTGGTATATTGATGACATCTGTGGCATTAGTCAAATCTCTCTATTACATGTAAACCACTTTCTTTAACCCCAAATTGTATCATAAATAAACCACAAATAAGTTACAATTATTTTGCTTCTTCTAGGGAACAGCCCAACCATTTAAGTTAATGGGCTTCGTGGATAAGGGAAAGTGGAATTAGTCCTACAAATTTTCACCATAACTTGGTGCAGTGCCATGTTTTGCCACAGGCAGTGTCTCACCATGCACCTGGTCTTGCTCAGCTGTTCTAGACTTATGGAATAGAATGAGATAGAATAGAATAGAATGGAATTCTATTTTAAAGTTGTGCTCATGTGTTTGATCCACTCTGCTGTCACTGAAGTTTCAGACAGTAGCTTCCATTACCCCACATCCTTGCCCTGCCTTTGGGAAAGCATGACTGTTTCAGGAGGATGTAAAAGCATGTTAAAATTGAAGCACTTGCATAGTTTACAGTGGCATTCACAGATCATATCCTTAAAATTAAACATGTATTACAACATTTGCCAGAAAGCTTTTAGGTCTGTGCTTTAATGCCTGTTTTTCAGGGTTTTTTTTGTTGTTGTTGTTTTTGGTTTTGTTGGGATTTTTTTCCCCCTGAGTGGTGACTATGGCAACAAGAAATAGCTGAAATTTTCTTAGTTCATCCAGTGAGAAAGTTTACATTCTTGAATACTTATTAACATTTCTATTTGTTCTTTACAGCCTGTTTTCCATGAGCAAACCTGGCTAAAATTTTACTCTATGTAAATATTAAAAATTCATTCTAAATAGGTTCTCTTCATCAATGTCTTTAAGTTAGAGATCAGTCCATGCAACAGATGCATGTTAAATATCTTACATGTAATTTGAAGTGGTTTTGGATCTTTCAAGAATTTAAAAGAAGGATTTTCCTTCTCACTGAGTCTAAATTTATATGTGGATTTGAGGTTCTCAGTTTTCAAAAGATGGCTTTTAGACTGTCAATAAATAAAATTTCTGTCTGCCAAGTCATTATTGGCATTGTTTGGACTATGACTTAGAGTAATCAGAGGAGGAGATGTAAAAATGTGGTGATGAAAGGCTATAGAAATGCATTTACTTACCCATGATAAACCTTTGCTACATATTTTCCTGGAATATAATTTTCTCGACCTGTTGTAAGGGAATGGACTCTCCACCAGCCTCCTTCACTGTGTGAAAGCAAGAGAAGGGATATTTTGAGATGTATTTTCAGAGTTTCTTGTCATTTGGAAGTCAGTGAATTTACACAGATTAACCTGCAACCTTCTGTGTGTGCTTTTGAAACTATGTATTCAGAAAGGAACCCTGTTTGGTTTCATTTAGAGTAGTTCCATTTCTAAACTTACTTGAGAATTAAATGTGGATACAGAAATAAGCTACTTTGTTCCATTTAAATTACGTAAGTAATAAAATATTTTTTATGCAGTTGAAGGAGGAAGGATAAATACTCGGTGGTTAAACCATGCTGTGCTCTGCCTTCCCACAGCTAGACTTGTACTGGTGTCCAAGATATTCAGTTTACAGCTGAGTGTGTTGTGTCTGGACAGCCCTGTAACACCAGGATAGAGGATCTGGGAAATGGAGCCTGTCTGCTTGGGAACAGGCTGTCAGTCCAACTGAACCTGCTTTGTGCTTTGCTCTTTTCCTTGTCTTCCATGAGCTGCAGACCAGAATCAAATCAAATAGACCTTGTAGTTGAAACTGCAGGTGTATGTATTTCCCCCAATATATCTTAAGTTATTGCTGTGGTACTGAATTCTGGCTTTTACTCTTGAATCCCTTCAGAAATAAAGGGTACCAAGAATTTTCACAGGGATGCTGCAAAGCTTTAGTGGTAGTGCAAGGATCCTGATGACTGTTGGGTTCTTTGCACCTTCACTTTAAGTGTTTGAATCCAAGGAACTGTGCCTTGTGTTTGAGTGCTGGTTTTGTGGATATTAATATAAATGCTCCCAAAATAATGTCTACACTACAGATCAGAGTCTCAGTGTGTGTCAGAACAGATGAGTTGAAATCACTTAGGTTAAATATCATGAGTTATAGCTTCTGGGACTGTGGTCCAGAATGTCTGTGCTGAGGGAAAAAAAAGGGGAAGTGTCTACTGCTAGCTGGAAATTGCAGGGCCTCAAAAGTTTTTGGTTTGGTTTTCCAGATGAAATGAATTTATCTATACGAATTTTAGCTTATTTTAATCTTTTTTTCCCCCAGAACTCTCCCAGAGAGAACCAAGAACCAAGAAAAAATACCCAAAACTGAGCAATTCATTATCTCTCTCCCTCCAAACTTTAGTATTACTAACCCTGAAAAATCCCTATGGTGATTTAAAATCCCAAAGCAGCACATGTCTCTTGCAGCAGGAGCTACAGAAATTATGTGTATTGGGGTCAGTCTTGGAGGACATTTGGTTTGACTTCTGCCAGCCAAATGCAGTTCCTCTGGTAGTAAAAGGTGCCTGACCAGTGAGGAGAGTGAGAAACTGTGCCAGTGGTGCTTATATAAATCTGCCAACCCAGAGCAGTCACAAATATCTGTGAGGAATTGCATTTCCTATGGAGGTTCCATATGTCCTGTTCCTGGCAGGATTGGTGGGGCTGATTGCCACTACACATCATTACTTTGGTAGAAGGCTGAAAAGCTGCTGTTGTAAAAGCAACTGAAAAGCTGCTGCTTGTGCTGACTCCTCTGTGGTGATCCTCATCACTTGTGCTCTAGTCACAGCTTGTTTTTTACTGTCTTTTACTTCTTTGAATGCTTTAGGAAAATAAATACAGCTTATGAGCAGTAAGAGGCTGCAGACAAGAGGAAGAGGCTGACATCAGCACGTACCCCAGCAGGGGAGAACAGGTCCTTCATCAGGACACTGTGGTTTGCCTAGAGCTTTGGACTTGTCTTCTGTGAACAAGCTCATGATTCAAAATAAGAAGAGGAAAGTTCCAGAGCAATCAAGGTTTGCTCTGGATCTAATTTATCCATCAGGAGAAGCCCTTGATCACTGCCCTACAGACAGGCATGTCAAAAACTTCTGCTGCCAAAGCCTATTCTTTTAGTTGTTCCTGCAGCAGATTTCACTTTGCAGCACATGTGTATATATTATATGCCACAAATATAATTCCCATTGATGTGGGCATAGGTAGTCCTGTGGTGTGGGAGGGCCTGTAGCTGATGAAACCTGAGAGTGAAGCTTTGAGCTGGAATTTCCAAGCTAAAGCAGTTGTTGTACCATGTCATGTATGTTCAGCAAGGTTTACACTACTAGAAGAAGTGTAGAAGAGAAGAATTCCCCTGGTTTAGAGGAGCTTTCCACCAGCAGGAAATTGATCTGGTGGTATTGTCTGAGTCTTGGGACCCTTAGGTTCAGGGAGGAAGAGAAAGCCCTGTGTCAGCAGGACATAAGTGCAGCCATTCTGGGTCAGACCAAAGCTCCACTAAAGCCTGTGTCTTCTGAGTGACAAAGGCCACTACAGGCCATGGTGGCCTGGAGAAGAGTCTGAGAATTCATCAGTCATCCGTGATGCTTCTCTCGAGTATCTCTTTCCTCCAGCCATTTGACTATCTGGTTGAGAATTTCTTAAATGATTTTAGAAGTGCTCCAAGGATGCCTCTGCTATCAATGTGTCTGGTCTCCCATTGAATCCATCTGCTCGACCAGCTGCAAAAATGAAACCTTTCATCTCATTTTGAGCAGTGCAAATAGTGGCTGTGAGGCCAAGTTACTTCCAGGAGGTCACTGTGTGCTGATACAAGCTGTGCCTAGAAGAACACCAGGGCTGCTTGCTTCCATTTTTTGTACATGTGCTCATTCTTTGTGTCTGGCAATACTGCACTGTGGTTAAGGTCAGTCTGAGCTAGTGCTCCAAAGCCTGCTTACTTCTGGGGCTCTTAAATTTTTTGAGTGGAACTGGCTGAGAAATCTCTTTTTTTTCCTTACTAAGAAAATGCAGAATTGATTAAAAAGTAGAAAGAGAAATACACCCCACCCCACTACCTACGTTTTAATTATTTTTTTTTTACATTTGCCTTAAATTAGGATGAAATTCTAAGACTTAATCATAATCGAGTTGTTAGATTAAAAAGGGTGAGAGAGAAAATTACAGACACAATTGACATAAAGAAATTCAGGGTGATTTTCTTTTATGTCATTCAAACTATTTTGGCTTTTACACTGTTTTCCATTACATTTGGGGAATACTTTCTTATCAGTTTTCAAAACCGAATTGTTCTGAGTCTTATTTTAGAATAGAGTCTGAATCCACCTTGACAAACATAAGGGAAATCTATACATTAAAGGACAATATGTAATCCCAAATCCTTAAGCTACATGGTCATTTACACTATGGCTAAGCGTCCTTCCCTGAAAATTCTGAACTCAGTTCATTTTGCTGAATTGCATCCAATTTGGGCCAGGTCCATAAAACAGAGCTTTACTTTAGTTGTAATACAACCTAATTTAAAAAGAAATTGATCAACTTACTCTGATAGCACACGTAGTTTTTCCCCTACATGAAATATAGGTTGGCTTATGTCTGCTGAAGGATAGTCATAGAGAACAGCAAGGAAGTCACTCTCCTGGCCTGTAAAAGAAGAAAGAAAAGGTCACTTAAAACAAAGGTAGTGCTCTGAGACAAAAATGGATTTTTCTTTAAGTATGATAGATTTTATGTAGTAAGTCAAATGGGGAAAAAAAATCTCTGAAATGTCACTTAATAAACATCATGAGCTAAAGAAAAACCTATAGATTTATAAGAGGACTTTGAAGATACTAGAAATGAAAAGTCATGTGGTTAATTGTAAACAACTAAATTTGGACTACTTTTTCTAACAATTACCATATTTAAAGGACATATTCAGTTTGAAACTAAAAAATTAGTAATTATTTATAGTATTAGGAAGTAACCCAGTTTGATTAATACCGCTGTCTCTAATTGCCTCCTGCTACAGTTTTGTAGCATTAGATTTAAGAAAAGGAAGATGCATGTTAAATTGTTGCATAATTTTACACCACTGATACTTTTCAATGGCAATTTAGATCAGGGTCAATGAAAGTGTGGCCATTGTTGCCCATTTCCATCAGTTTTTGTATGAAATTAGTTTAGATCAAGGTCAATGAGAGTGTGACCATTGTTGCCCATATCCATCACTTTTTAAAGGAGCTTGATGATCAGCTAGTGCACTTTGTTCTCACCCTTGCATGGAGACTGTGCAAGAGCCTCAGTGACAGAAAACAGGCACAGGGATGTTTAAGTTGAAACCATTGTAAAATGGCAATTTGCAGAGCTGAGGTCAGCAAAGAGATGAGAAGACCTTTTACATCAGCTGGGATGAATCTGGGACTTGCACCCTGTGTAGGACATGCTGAGTCTTCTGGGTTTCTGGAGAGTAGAGCACTATACACAGGACTGGGCCATCAAACGTGAAATGCTCCTCATCCTGCTGGAATCTGTGGTGCCCAGTAAATGCTGACAGCTGGGTGGTTCAGAAATGTGTCATGCTGATTGTTTTGAGCTCTTTGTCACAAGTATTGGCAAGAGGGATTGTGCCATTCACTGCCTGTGTTTCTCCTGGAAGCAGTTCCTCCTCTCTGCACACCTCAGTATTCCCCATGATCTCACAGGGAGACAGAGCTTCCCTCTGCCTCCACCAGGATCAGCACCCTGATCCTTAGGAACACCAACTACCACTACATTTGTCGAGGTTGTTTGATCTCCATACTCTGTGCAGTCCAACATGTGCAAATATGGGTGTCAATTCAGGGCAGGAAAGAAAGAAATTAGATTGAGAGAAACGCTTCTGTATCTCTTCTGTATTGTTAGTTTTTTCTCATTTAATTTGCCAACTTGTCTTTAAGGAAGACAGCTTCTGAGAGAAACCTAGGTGCAACACCCTGAATGAATGTTCTGTGTTTTTAGCTGTGTGTCTCAAGGCCATAGAAACAACCCACAAAGATAATTGTAAAAGGCTGAAGGAAACATGAAGGAAACAAACACAACAGGTTACCCAGAGAAGTTGTGGATGCCCCATCCCTGGAAGTGTTCAAGGCCAGATTGGATGGGGTCTGAGCAACTTGGTCTAGTGGATGGCATCCCTAGCCATGGCAGTGAGAATGGTGTTTTAGATGATCTTTAAGATCCCTTCCAGCCTAAACCATTTTATGATTATTTTGAGAGTGTGTTTAATATTGATATTTCCATGATTTTCTTAGTTGATTAGTGTCACTGAATTAAACAGGACTAGTCCATTACAGCCAACCACTGTGATTAGTCTAATGCAACTTATTATACACTTAGTTCAACCCTATTGAAGAAATTCTCTGCTAATTGTCTTTGATGGCTTCCTGGTTCTGCACAGAAAATGTAGTGGCACCTTCCTGTCTATGAAGCTACATAGTACCTGAGGCTAGTAACACCTAAGCATGGCACTAAATCTTTTTTGACAAAATAAAATCTTTACCCTGGACTACTAGAAAAACTGTGAGCCAGAAGATGCATTTTGAAAATAACAAAATGAGGATAAAGTACCAGCTTATAAAACATCATGTAATGCTACATTGAATATAATTACTTTTAGCTTAATGCCTTTAGCAATGCTTTAAAAAAAAATTATGCTGTGTATTTATAAATATTCTGCTTCCATAGTGAAAGAGCGGAAAACAAGTGCTTTTCTGTTCTCTTTCCTTGTGCACTGTCATTTGCATTTCATTATGCACTGTGGGGAAGGTGACTTTTTGTCTACTCTAGAAAGACCTGTGTTACTTTGCTTACACTTTCATATTTTTATTAATTTTAGTTTCAATTTTGCATGTAATTTTTAATTCTGAAAAGGAAAGAATATATCAGAGTGTTATCTTCCACATCCATGCAAATGTTACCTCCTGAACTACCTATAGTTATACTAAAGTGTCAGGAAAGGAGTGAACCCCCTCCTTCTTCTCTTTGTTTTGATTGGTATTTAAGTCAAGCCTCACTGGGTTTTTTGGTCATGCAAAATACCCCACCACACTGTACCACATTTCACAGAACCCATACCAGCTCCTTACAAACACAAAAGCCTGGAAACAGGAACGAAACAAATTACACGCTTTCTCCACGCCTAAATTTCACAGTGATCTAATAGATTTGATCTGATGAGCTCCCCATACTTTCAAGATGCCAAAGAAAAAAAGATTTGCTGAGTTTTCTAACACAAACTCTCCTCCACAGAGCAAGTGTAGGTTACATCTGAAATGGAACAACCCAAAAGTCAGAATGGAAAGATCTAAGCACAATCATTTCCACTGCATCAGGTGTTAATTCTGCGTGGTTTTTTAGGAGTAGGCAATGAATGTGAAATACATGCTAATTTTAGATGTCTTCACACCCACATGTCTTGCAAAGTGTGAGACTGAATATTGTATCCTTCAAATTATTCATTGGGAATGGACTATGTAGCATTATTAGAGAGTAGGAAGAGCATGGGCAGAGCATCCAGATCCAGGTCACTGCCCTCAAAAATCTGCTGTGCTGGGCACTGACGTGGTCCATGTCTGGAGTGGGAATTAACTCTTTGGAGTCCAGCTCCATGCATCATCCAGCTTTACTGGCCAGCAGAAATAGTATGATTTATGGCACAGGGTGCACCAGAGAGGGTGAAGGAGGGCACTCATCTGGGAAACTGTGCAGCACCACAAGGTGTGGCTGCAGAGTCACACTTTGGTGTCCAAGCTAGATCAAATCCAGCCAGCTTGGGAACTGAGATTTGTGCAGGTGCACCCCAAAAGGATTAACCCTTGATTCAGGGTCCCAAAGGAGGACAGAGAGAGGCTCACAACCCTTGATGACTCCTTGCTGCTCTTCTTACTCTGTCATCAGTGCCTGGGTTGTGCCAGAAATGCCCATGCAGTGTGTGGCAGATGCGGTGCAGTTATCTTTGGGGCCCAAATCCTCTTTGGGAAATGCAGCTTATTCTCTGGGCCAAGACTGGCACGCTGGTACTGAGGAAAGCACAAAGTTTTGCTTTCAGTGCACAGGGAAGGACAGAGAGAGGCTCACAACCCTTGATGACTCCTTGCTGCTCTTCTTATTCTGTCATCAGTCCCTGGGTTGTGCCAGAAATACCCATGCCGTGTGTGGCAGATGCGGTGCAGTTATCATTGGGGCCCAAATCCTCCTTGGAAAATGCAGTTTATACACTGTTCCCTTTCTCAGGGGAGAAAGGGACTGTTATGCTGGTACTGAGGAAAGCACAAGGTTTTGCTTTCAGTGCACAAGGGGCTCATAGGGGTCTGATGAACACTGCAGATCAAGTCTGCAGACTGCAGTTATATGTTTTCTTCCCCTTTTTTGTTAGAAACTCTTTCATTATTTCCCTTCTATTTCAGTCCTTCATTTTATTCAGTCTCCCTGAAATGAGCCAGTGTCAAGCCTACGTCTCTTAATAACTATTTCAGCTATTGAAAGTCATGGATTTGATTCTCCACCTCAGTTGAATCAAGTCTGTTCCTGGCCTGGTGAAAATCTTCTGTTTTGTGATGTGATTTGGTTGTTTGATCTGCTCAGGATGGCAAAGAGATACAAACTCAATGGATGAACCCCAATACACACTTTGGTACCAGGTTCACTTTTAGAATTCTTTTTTCATTGGATTTTAATGACAGTAGTGATGTTTGTATTCCCAACTTTCATTAGCAATATCTAAGTCATTATGAAAGTTACTGGTCTGATCCAGACTAAGAGGTGGATGGATCCAAAGAGCTATTCAGGCTGATAAATCCTAGAATAATGGAATAGTTTGAGTTGGAAGGGACCTTTAAAAGTCATTTAGTCCAACCCTCTGAAATGAGTGGGAGCATTTTCAACTGGATCAAGTTGCTCAGAGCCCTGACCAATCTGACTTTGAGAGTTCCTAGGGATGGGGCATCTACAACCTTTGTGGTAAGTCTGATCTAGTATTACACCACCCCCATTATATTTTTTCCCTTCTATCTAGTCTAAATCTAACCTATCTTAGCTTAAAACTGTTATCCTTTGTTGTATCACAACAAGCCCTACTGAAAAATCCATCCACATCTTTTTTATGAATCCTCTTTAAGTATTGAGAACTGCAACAAGGTCTCCCTAGAGCCTTCTCTTCTCCAGGCTGAATAACCCCAACTCTCTCAACCTTTCCTCATAGGAGAGGTGTTCCATCTCTGATAATTTTTGTGACAACCCCCCTGCCTTTGGGTGATTAAACATGGGTATCTGGTGCAATTTCAGCTGTGAGAGTGTCTGAAACATCTCTACAGCCTTGGCAGGTGCCACTGTAACTACAGGAGATTTGTTCTCTCCCTGGGTGGTACCAGGAGGTCAGGTAGGACTAACAACACCCCTTTCTAGATGTGCTGGATGTGTAGGAAAGCTCAAGTAGATTGAGTCCTGAATTCCTAAATAGATATTTCTCCCTTGTAGTTACTGTGCTATCAATGTTTGCAGGGGTATGTGGTATTTCCATCACAAAAATGGTTGCAGTTGTTTTTTTTTAGCCCTGTTAAATCCTGACTTTTGGAGAGGTGTTCCATCTCTGATAATTTTTGTGACAACCCCCCTGCCTTTGGATGATTAAACATGGGTATCTGGTGCAATTTCAGCTGTGAGAGTGTCTGAAACATCTCTACAGCCTTGGCAGGTGCCACTGTAACTACAGGAGATTTGTTCTCTCCCCGGGTGGTACCAGGAGGTCAGGTAGGACTAACAACACCCCTTTCTAGATGTGCTGGATGTGTAGGAAAGCTCAAGTAGATTGAGTCCTGAATTCCTAAATAGATATTTCCCCCTTGTAGTTATTGTGCTATCAATGTTTGCAGAGGTATCTTTTAGGGGTATGTTGTATTTCCATCACAGAAAGGGTTGCAGTTGTTTTTAGCCCTGCTAAATCCTGACTTTTAGTACGTGCAGGACAAACTTGGTCACAGCCGTGGCCTGCTCATCAGCAAGGTCCTACTTTGAGTGAATGCATGTCTCTGTTTTGGTGTTTATATGTGGTATTTGTGTCAGCAGTTGTTGGGAATATTAGCATAAGGAACTTTTCTTAAAAAAAAAAAAAAAAAGCAGTATGCTGAGTAGCTTTTGGTCTCTGCTATGTACTATGTTAGGACCTAGGGCTGCAAGGCTGCCCATCTCAGTGAGTTCCTAACCATACTAAGAGCAGGGCTGGGTTTCCTTGCAGTAAAAATCAAACCAGGCTGATCCCCTATCCTTAATAATGAGCAGCCCAATTGGGAAAATCTTTGATGGAAAAACTCCAAAATTAAAACAAAACAAAACACAAACAAACTAACTAACTAACATACTTTAAAAACCCACTCCAAACCCAAAACTGCTTTCTCCTCTTCAGCTTTGGGGAGTGATTTCTTGCAGCTCTTGTGCCAGCTGCCTGTATTAGTGTACCAGGAGGGCTGAGACACTACTGGCTCTCCACCCACTCACTCACAGTTTGTAGTAGCTGATCACCAAATCCCTCTTCCTTTCCCCCTCCAGTGCATGACCTCTACCAGCCTACAGAGGTGGCAGGGAGGGATTTGCAACCTGATTAATTTACGTGTGGATGCAGAGGGCAGATGTGTTCCATTCTTCTTTGGCAGCTTGCCCTGTGAAGCTTGTATTCCTCTCTAGTCTTTATGGATAAATCTGGTGACAGGTTGGCTGTGTGCTACTTTTAATGCAATTATCTGACATCCTATGATGGACATAAGGTTCAATGCAATGCATCGTTAAAACTTTTAACCTTAAATGAAGAAACCCAAAATTTCAAGGATAAATTTGTATAAAATATCACATGCAATTATATCAAAACACAGCATTCCTGGTTTCTGAAGTAGTGTTTCAGCACTTTCTGATTTGGAAGGCAAGTCTTTCAAAGAGCACCAGCAAATAATATGTTTAACATTTGGAGTTTTTAATTAAAGTGCTTCTTGGAAAATGAGCTAAAACATAGCTAAATATAAGCACTGTCTGGTGGATGCCCTCCTTCTCCCACAGCAGCCGTGCACTTGCCTGCTCCTGGCAGGCGGGTGAGGAGCGACACATGGCTGAGTCTATCATGTGTCGTGAGAGTCTTTTCTCTTGAAAGGAATGAAATGAGCGCTTACCCGTTTGGCTTGGCATGTTTGTTTCCTCAGATGCTCTTGGAGTTTTCACAGTGTTTCCCATTGTGCTCGTTAATTCCGTCAAAGTTCTTCAGAACTAAATCAAAGCAGACATCGAAATTTAACATCACAATAACACCTGCTGTGCCAACAGATGAGAAATGACCTAGTTTGGGCGTCTCCAATTTCGTACAGTTTTGCTTTTGAGAACACTGGTGTCAAATTCATGCAAGAGTTTTACATACTTGCTAAACTCTCACCACTTTTGTGCTTTTATCAGGGGAATAGCAGAAAACCACAGCTAGGGAAGTTGCTCAGAAGAACATGATGTAGTAAAAGTTTCCATTACCAGTAGCTCAGCACAATAGGAAGTAGCAGCAGAGCTGTGCCCATATGGGCATTTCATATACAAAATATTTTTTCAGCATTTGGGGTTCTGAGGCTACAAAGGATCTAATTAGACTGATGTCCCTGGTTGTCAGCACTGTGTATGTATTATGTTGGTTTACTACTGATCACAAAGAACACCGCTTGGTAGGTTTGGGATTTTTTCTGATGCAATTGTGCCCTCAGCAAACATGGGCTTTTTTTTTTTAAGTAACACCTTGCTTAAAAAAAAAGTTTGATTTCAAATCAGTCCTCCTGCATAAAGCCAGCCGTGCAAATTCTTCAGATACCTATCTTGAAAAGTTTTGATGGATGTACAAGAAACAGTATATTTGTGGAACTAAATAGTGTGAGAGGAGCAGCTCCTTCTCATAGCTTTGCTGCAGCCATCCTAATTCTCTCTGACAGAGGACAGAGAGATAAATATTTTGAATGTAGAAGGTGTATCACACTATGTTGTATTTTCAGAGGCAGAAGACAAAAAGCTATATCGATTTAAAAACTGTTCATTAAAGAAAAATAGCACCACCAGCACCAGATGGTTAATTATTTTTTGAAAATGTGTTTCTGCCCTGTGAAAATGATAACAGGAGCTCTAGCAGCATTGTGCGAGTATTCTGCATCTTGCAGCCTTTTCTAGCTTAAATACTTCAAAGATGATTACTGACTTTGGTGTGCTGCTCTTCACTTACACATGCTAGAGCCTCAGGAGGGTCAGTCAGGTGGAGAGATGTCCAATTTGAGAAGTAGAACGACTGACATCAGCAAGACTTCATTGCTAATTGTCTTTCAGAAGAAGATTGGCAGAATTTCAGTATGTTGATTAATACTGTAAATTTTTAATGTCTTACAGACAGTTTAGGAAGACATCCTACAGAATAAAATGCCATTCAAAGCAAAGAAAATTTGTCCTTACCAAATGCAAGGAGCTCAGTGCTAGAACAGATGGTAGCGCACAGTGTGACTCCACCTCATCTGCTTTCCAAGCTTCTTAGTGCTGTTCCCAAAGGTTCTTTGCTAGAATTCTCTATTTCACTGGCCAAATGGAACATTACCCCTTCACTTTATGCACTCAGAACTGGCTTGTGGCACATCTGGAGGGTGCAGCTGTGCCAGGGTCTTTCTGACTAGCATCAGAAACCTACTTTCACAAGAACAAAAATGTGTTGCCTGATAGGAGAAGTCTAGAAGCTGAATAAAACAGCACCCTTAAATTTAAATAAACTACTTGGATATTCACATTTTTTAAATAGGTCTCTTTATAGAAAACAAAACAAAAAATCTTTCTCCACGTAAATGCATCTAAATTTTTTAATCTGAAACCAGAATTCACTTTGTCAGGCAATGTCTTCTTTCAAAATAATAACTCTCTGATCTAATTATGAGTATTTTTCTGCAAGACCCAATTTTAAGTTGTTGAACGTTTTTCTTATTTGTATCCCATAAAGAACAAGAGGTAAACCCATAGGAGTAGTGCAGCCAGTATTTTGGCTACAGATATTATAGATGTTCATGGCTCATCTTCAAATTAGCCAGAAAAATTTCCTGGGCACAGCAATAGAGAGCTCAACAGGGCTGAAAATGTCAGCCAAGAGAGTGAGATAAATACCTGGGCTGATAAACCCTGCTGAGCTCTGTGCTCTGGTCGATGCATTTTTGCAGTAATTTAAAACGGGAGCTCAAATCTTGTTCAGGGTATAGAATCTAAGCTGCAGTTACCGAAAATGTTGTGCAGTTCCAGGGAGATAGCAGGAATGATAGCATAAACATCTTATGTCCATCTCTAATTTTGACATGTGCAATTGACATTTAGATGAGAATTGCTTGAATTTTGTGTCCCAAAAGTCTGGAGAGAAAAAAAAAAAAGAAAGAAAAAAAGAGTCCTACATCTAAGTACCATAAGTATCATTTTATGCTGGCTTTTGTTATTTGAGGGCAGGAATAGCAAGTCATCCCGCAAGTGCCAGGCTTGTGACCAGTGGCCTTTTTCCTCCTCCTAATGTCAGGTGTGCCTGAGTCTCTTTGGAAAGTGATATGTAGCATTTCTGTGTGGTGGAAAGACTTCTGAAAATTTTACTTCAGGCTTTCGATCTTTCTAAAAGCGCGGCACATTTCACCACAGCACTTAGATTTTTCTAGATGGTGTTTAAGGATATAAACTCTAAATGCTGCTTTAGAAATACCTGAAGTATTTCTGCAGGGTTGCTGATACATTGTTTGCAATTAAACCACTGAGGGATTAAATACTGGACAACAGGCATGTTCCTACTTTGTATTTTTGCAGAGCACAGCCTGGTTCCCTTCTGCCATACCAAGCATTCTGTTCTCAAAGTACCTCTGAAGTCATCAGGGCATAACGTGCAGCTCCGTGCTGCTGCCTTAGATGTGGAATAATCTGGCTTGTGGAAAATGCAAATGTTATAAAGTGCTTCCAGTGCAGCGAAGAGCAGTGATGTCTCGGGCTTTGCCGTCATTTTCTTGGCACTTTGCTGTTTCTCATTGCATTTTCCATGCTCTTTTACTGTCACTACCATTGCTAGCATGAAGTCCTGGAAGCGACAGAGAGTTCAAGATGCTCTCCAGATTAATGGCAGAAGTACTCAGTGAAAATTTAAAAATAAAAGCTCGGATGCTTGCTGTTAATTCACTTAGCCAAAGTGACTAAAAGGAAAACGAGACATCAGACTAGGTTTTACTACTAAAGCCACTTGTCATTAGGCACATGGGCAGAGTAAAGGTTCCTATTGTCCAGTCAAAGGTGGTGGAGTGAATGTTCTGAGGTATGACTCAATGTTCACATGTTGAAAATAGGACTTGGAAGTTTTGTTTGAAATAGGGCAGGCAAAAATTGCTTCTACTTGTTTGCTGGCAATGGCATATCACTGTTTCTAGAGTAAAAATGTACAAATTAATGATATTTCTAAAATAATGGTGTACTTTTCTCTCAAGTGACTGATAGAACTTGATGGCTTAAGTAGCTTGTGATTGTATTGAGTTATTGTCAGCACAATACAATTCCATTCCATCACTCTATGATAAATTCTTGTGTGGTTTTCTGAAATTTTGAGACACTCTGCAAATCTAGACTTACTGGAAGCTTTAAAGATCTCATGAACCAATTATTTTCATTGAAATCGATAGAAGAACAGTAACAGTTTTATAGATTATAATCTTCTGAAATAGCAAATTTGCTACAGGCACTGCATCTCACTTGACCTTATTAAATTATAGAATAATTTGGGTTGGAAGGAACTTTTAAAGGCCACCTAGTCCAACCATCCCTCCATGGATAGGGATATTTGCAATTAGATCAGGTTGCTCAGAGCCCTGTCCAACTTGGCTTTGAATGTTTACAAGGATGGGGCATCTAACACATCTCTGGGCAACCTGTGTTTCACCCCCCTCATTGTAAAAACTTTGCTCCTTATATCTAAACTTGATGACAGAGTTTGGGATACAAATAGAAGAGCCACCCTTCCATCACAGAAGTAGATAATTAGGCCAGATCCAGAGGGTGATGTAAGAAGAACGAAAGAGAAATGATAGACTCTAAACTCAGCGTGTCTAATCTACCCCAAGCCCTGGGCTGCTGGGATCCAAAATCTACCTGCAGCTTGTCTGCTCACCAGCCACCTCCTTGGGCTTGCATGAAAATTTGGTTTTAACTCTTAAGATCATATTTGCAGTGTTCCAAGCACTGGTCCTTCCTCCTCTCCCCTTTCCACTTGTGCACATTGTGTCAAGGAAGGGTGGTCACAGGTCTGTTTGCACACAGCTGTTAGGGCTTAGGGATCTTTGCTGCCAAAAGGAATGTGAGGAAATATCCACAGTCCCAGACCTGCTTTGTGCTCTATTTATCAGAACTCTGAGCAGATATGAATTCCTCACCTGTCGAGACTGGAATCCCACTGACCTACATCGTGTGACCCCAAAACCTGTGGTACAATTTTCCCTTTCCGTTCCTGTGTACAGCACATGTAGCAATAACTTCCTTTTGCAGAATTTGTTCTCTGAGAAAATGTGCTTCTGCAGCAGTTAAATAGCACGGAACATACAAAATTCTGCTCCTCAGTGAGAACTTTGAAAAAGTTATATTTAATATAATTGAGAATTAGTTAATATAAGGAAATGAAAGTAATAAGAGGAATAAAAAGGCAAGATAAGCACATGAATAAAGCCCTCCTACAAGGAATACTATAGACTAGTAAAATTAGAACATTTATAATTTCTGAGATGCTATACCGTATTTTATTTTTGTTTCCTGATATTCACATCTATATTGCCAAGGTCTTACATTTTAATTCTCAATAAATTTCACAGGTAATGTCTGAATCTCATTTAGCTTGAAAATGAAAGCACTGGCATCCTGTCATTTTTCATGTGTGGAAAGAAAAAGCAAAACAACTTAGATTTCAGAAACTGTATTTTTTTGTGGATTTCCCTTAATATATCATTAATCAGAATTAACATCCTTCCAGCTTTGAGGCAGTTGTACCTTTGCACTTAGAAAGAATAATAATACCCTCATCAAGGTAATTCAGAGACACATGCAAACATGAAACAACACAGAAATACCACAGTATCCACACTTCTAACACTTTGAATAAAAAGCCTTCTAATCTGTGGGCTCATATTTTGGTTATAGTGAAATACAGTTTGCTTTAGCATAAGGTTTTGAGCATCTGTCTTACTCAGGTTTCAGCAGAAATACTCCTTGTCCTGTCTATCTTTAGTACCACTCCTTATGAAAAGGATCAAGGCAGACTCTTCTATTTCTGCCCTTGGTGGTACTTGAAATCCCCGCTCTGAATGCTGTCATTGTTAATGAAATAGAACACCCTTGTCTATAAATAAAATTGAAACATTTGGTCTCGTACGCAGCTAATGTAAAATATATCCCAGCAGTGATTACCTTTAAATGCTAGGCATGGCATTCCAGGTTGCAGTGTTTCTGAGAAAAGCCGTAGTCATAGTACTGCTCTCACGCTGCCAGCAAGGTTTAGCTGATCAAGTCGAGGAGCAGCCGGTCGAATGAGAGTGTTGTGAAGTTCACGCTGTCATGTAGAGCAGCATTTGCCAAACAGGCCACATACTTCCTCTCTGAGAAATAAGGAAGGCTCAAAGTGTTTGCAACAGATGAGGTTCCTGTTGCAAGTCACTACTGAAGGCACATTTTATCTATGGGCTGGGAAAAACAGGGAGGTTTTCAATGTATTGCATCAGGGCTGGTTTCAGCAGATATAAAAAATGAGGGAAATAACCCAGTTTACATTACTTACACAGAAAGGGTTTATTTTCTTTTCTTCTTCTTCTGAATTTATTTATCCAGTAATGCTCATTTCCCAACTGTTTTCTTTTATGCAGTTTTGGGTTTTTTTCTGACAGACAGGAAGAGGCACAAAACATTTTTTTCTCTCTTATTGAGTCTGAATAGGAATGCAGCCTTTGCTTTATGCTTCACTCTGCACCCCAAAATATCTCTGTCTGCAAACAATTGAAACTTAAAATCAGCAATGAAGAAATATGGATTGAGAGCCAGTCTCTGAATCCCATTTTCATATTAGATTTTAAAAAAACAGAAGCCTCAGGATCTTCCTCATCTCAGTGTCTGAGATGGAGGAACCAAGATACTGGCCTGTTAAATAACCTGACTAAGGGCACTAAGAATGTTGTACCATGGATACGAATATAGAAGTCAAAAGGATTTATTAAGGTTTGCCCTTTGCTTTTATAATCAAGATGGGATCTGAAAAACTCCCTGATACAGCACAGGAAAATATTTAAAAACTCTTGACAAAACCAAAGAAAACAAAATAACCCAGCAAGCCCTAGCAGATTTCCTACTTTGCACCAGAGCAGCTCCAAGTAGGTGCTTATGTGGGAGCTGTTGTGTAACTGTCTTATTGAACCCAGAACACACTGATCAAATCCCCAAAGCTATGCCAAAAATTGGTAATTTGGTAATTTTGAGAGAATATTATTTTTCTTTGATGGGCTGTACCAGCAGTCCTCAGTTGGAAGGGTCAGGAAAGCACTAGGGAGCTTGATAAGCTAATCAGTCTAAAGCACAGCTCCGTGGGTACCCTGGCCAGTTATATTTTGATTGTTTAAGACCTCCTTGCTTTCTTCAAATCACAAAGATGTGACATATATGTCCATTAATGACATTCACTGAATTGATGGACAGTGTTTCTGGAATTACTAAAATATCGTGGGTTAGGGGATGTCTGCAGGTGGGAATGGGCAGAGGCAGAGCCTTTTCCCAATCCTCACCACCCTCAGCCTTAAACTGCCTCTGACAGTCTGTATGCCTTTACAAGAAATAAAGTTACATCCTTGGGAATGGGACAGATCTCAGACTTGGCAGGAGAAATTGGTCACACTTAAGGAGAGGTTGGACTTGTTTGATAGAACATGATCTGCTGGAAACACAGTAATCTCAGACACGGTTTGTATTGTGCTTGTAGAGGAACAGATGAGTTTGCAGTGGAGGGTGGTAGATAGAATTCTCCATTTGCGTGTCATTTCTGCCTGTTGCTGGTGGCTGGCTGCTCCTGTGCAAGGATCAGAGCTGATTTACCCTTTCTGTGCATTTAGCTAATACCTTGTGTCAAATAGGATCATTGATAAAGTAGTGTTTACATCTAAATGGAAGAACATGCTTGTATGAATTTAGTGGGACTTTGTATGTCATCTTAGAAATATTCATATCCTGTTATTCAAGTCATTAACCTGACACAGGCACCCTGTGAGTCACTTGTGAGAGGAACATTGTCCTTGCAGGGTTGCCTCTGATGTCAGCAAAGAGGGGTTTGCAAACGCCGATACATGAAAAAGAAATTTCCCTTATTCAAAATGTTATTTTTGATATAAGAGAGAGAGCCCTTGCCTACCCCCCATTTTTATATGGAAATTACAGTCTAGGAGACAGTTATGGAGGGAAAGATGTTTCTTTCTCAGTCCCCCCTGCCAGTGCTGGATGGACCTGACCATTCCCTGTTACACTTCCTGTGCTGGTGTTTGCCAGGTGTCTGCCAAATGTCTTCTCAGCTGTGACAGAGACTCCCTGAGCTGTTCCCAAAGCTTTCTACTTCTCCAAGCTCTTAAAGCCAGGCTTTCTCCGCCTGGAATAATGACATTAATGTCATCACACAGAGCCCTGCAGTCTTGGTGTATTGTAAGCACCGGTCACTATGCAGAATTGGTTGTCTAAGGAAAAACAATGAAGGGCACTGAAAAACAACCCTGCAAGAAAGAAGCAAGTAGGGTCCAAATTGAAAACAACTTCTGAAAATAGTTTAAATCCAGTCTGTTAAAGAAAAATCTCCTGAACTCGTTGGGAAAGTGAGTCAGTGGTTGTTTAGTTGCAGTTTGCTTATTTTTGCAGGAAGAAAAAAGAGGATTTAAACAGTATCTTTAATCTGGCATTAACTGAAACTGAAGGCACCCTCAAACAGAAATAACGTTCTGTTGCCTGTCCATGGGGTAATTATCTTTAAGCACAAACTGCCAAGGAGAAGGCTGCAGTATCCGTTTCTCTGTGTCTCTGAGCCCAGCTTAAATGCCTCATGCAAGATCAAACACAAGCCATGTTTTAAGGGGTAGGAAGCACTTGAGCTCAGCAGTCAGGAAATGGAAGAGCCCTGGCTATCCTGGAGGTCAAACCAGATGGTCTGACAGATACTTCTGGCTGGGAACTGTGTGCATCTGAGCCTGGAGAGTGCCTATTTTTAACAAATAAAATATTGCTGTACAGCTGGCTCTTTTGGGAAAGTAGAATTCTCAGGACATTTCCTTGCTCTGACTGTTTGCATTAGATGTCTTTTGATCTCATTTTTGGGTGGTGTTACTGTAATTGCTGTTTGCATTGCCTGTAGCATGGTTCAGGGCACACAGAAAGCCTCTCTGGCTGCAGCCATCAGAGAAACCCCATTCGCTTGCAGGGAGTGCGTGTGTTGAGGAGACAAGAAAGAATTTAATTTTCAAGTCAGTTTGGGAAAAAACAAGAGATCGTGATGTGAGGAGAGGAAGCTGCGTTTAGGCTTGCAGATTGTGAGTGATAAAATCTAGTTCCCGTGAAGTTTCTAATCATTAGATGTGTTCTGAATAATTTTTGAAAGATTTTGCAGAAGTGAGCTTCCAAACTCAATGAGGAATCAAAAGACATTCAGCACTGCAGCTTATATGGCAATTGTCTTTTCCAGATCTGTTGTGAGACAGGTACAGAGTACAAGTGATGGCACTGTGGTGGACTGACTCTGGCTGGACACCAGCTTCCCACTAAACCTGCTCTGCCCTCCTCAGCTGGCAGGGGAGAGAAAATAAAATTAAAATCTCATGGGTCAAGATAAGTACAGGGAGAGATTACCAACTGGTTACCAGCACAGACCGGGAAATTAATTTATTTTAATTAGTTTAATTTAGTACCAATTAAACAGAGCACGATACTGAGAATTAAAGCATGATTATGACCATCTGGGATTTTCCACTCTCACTCTTCCTCACAGCACTGCAATTATTTCATTTAGACTCCCTCGCTACCAAAATACACAAACCAAACAGAGGTCCATATATTCTTTTTTATCATCTCATCAGAATAGCAGCAAGAGCTTGTGGGGGAAGAAATGGGATGGCCAGGATAGCACCAGTGAAAGTCTGTTGAGCTCTGATGTCCCAAAAGAAAAGTTTGCAAGAGGCACCAGCCCCAGCTCAGCTGGTCACAGCCCGATAACAAAGTGAGAATTCACCTTCATGTTATACTAATTCATCAGCTTCTCACCATTGTGAACTGCAGCATTTTGTGGTGTCTGAATTTCTACTGTGTATTTGAACCTCTGATATTGAAAAGAGAAATTTAGAAATGCTGGCAATGCTCCTGGTCCCTGAACTAAATAGTACCGAAGGCTTTTACTCCCATTTTTAATGCCATCACTTGTTGCAGTAGGTGCTGTTGCTCAACACTCTAAAGTTCCTCCTATTCCTATGAATTTTGGAGAGCAGTGTAACAATGCTGTTGTGAATTGTGTAACACAGCTGCTTCTTCTTAGCACTTTTGAACACTTTCAAATGGGTCAGTGTCAAAAATGTCAATGGAACTTCCTCTGTCTTCCTCTTCCCCCTTGTTGTGGGTCTGTCTATAAGGACAGCTAAAACAAGAAGTGTGTGTGGATTCAGTTCCCTGTAAATAATTTCTAAATGATCCCCCAGTGATGACAAAGTGACTAATGACTACAATTTTATTGTACATGTCATTTTTTTAGAGGTTCACTTTCAAAAAACAACTCTGCTGGAACAGCAAAGATTTCACTTGTTAGTTTCAAAAGTGAATTTTTTAGCTCTTGTGTTCATGGGTACAGGAGAGTTCTTGGAGAATTAAAAACCAGAGGACTAACAAAAAGAACACAGTGTTTGTTATTCTTGAGCTGATCTCATGATTTTTGGTTTTCTGATTCATGATTCTGTAATGTTGATGGTAATATGGGTGTCATGTAATGGAAACAAACAGACCTTCCACTATTTCTTCTTCTGCCTAAGTAGTACTATTTTTTAAAGTACACAAGTCCTCCATTATTGGTTTCTGGGACTAATCACACAAATAAATGATAGTCTTATAGGAAAAGAGGGAACTTCTAAGCGTAACTCTGTTATTCTCTCTGTCCTGAGCCCACCTGTAATATGAATTCAGTGTTCAGGGAAGATTTCTGTTTAATGTGAAAACTGCAGGCTCAAAAAAAGAAAGAACATTAGTTCTAGGCAATACCAGCTTCTGTTCTCACTTATTTGTTTCTGAAGGTTTTTTTGTTTTGTTTTGCTTTTTGTTTTTTGGGTTCTTTTTTACAATAGTGAAGAAACAGACCCTGAATTTGATGTGCATTTGTAAAGCAGAGAACTGGTAGAGTTTTGCTTGCATAACTTCTGCCCTAAGAGAAGTCATGTTTCTAAACCTGGAACACCTTGGAAGGAAACATAATGGTATTGCTCCTAAATACTCTTTGAAAGATGCCTTGTGTTTCTCTATCTCTGCTTCAGTCCTAGAAAAAATTAAACATGATTAAAAGTAGTAAATTCCACATATCTTTCAAACCCTAAA